GGGAACAGAAGACATATAGGATTGACGAGGCTGAACTTTTAAAGTAATCACTGTAATCGTAAAAAGAGAGTGGGGAGAGATATAAATGATATATAGAGAGATGACTAGCTGGAACAAGATGGCGCCCGCAGTCACTCGACCGCTGCAGGAAAGAATGTCCAGGGACGATTCCGTGACGGAGCCGACGGACGGATCTGGAGCGTGACAAGGCCGTGGCGGTGAAAGTAGGGCAGTAAAAATAGGATTGAATTGACAACGCTGGTATCACGCGGTTACCCCTTGTCTATACTCCTACATTTCCTTGCCTTTCTTCGACAGTACAGCTGCTACAACAGAGCATGGTACTTGTTCAACAGTACAGCTGCTACAACATAACATGATACTTGTTCGGCGGTAAAACTACTACAATGAGATGTGTAAATTCATAGCTTAAAGAATTTATTCATCAATATGCAGAGTACAGACATTTGTAAACTGGCGTAGCTTAAAGAATTTATTCGTTATGTATAAATTACAGCCATTTGTAAATTATGGCTCTACCGACCTATTACTCACGAAGAGACAACATTCAGCAGATCTTTAAAATAAAAGTCACCTCTCCCTTCAAAAAATACGCTAAACTACGCTATCTCCACAAACTTGCGGACTCGGGTCGGTGACAAAGCCACAACACCAGCTTTGGTAAATTCCGAACGCCCACTTGGAAACCATGGTTTCGGGGATAATGATCCTCCTCAGTCCAAAGCGGGTTTTGATTTCATGAGATCCATAAGGGATAAAATGATATCTTCAGAATTTGCCAAAGAGGTGTTTAGCTGGTAGTGTAGCTAGGGTAATTCTGTGGACAAATTATAGATGGATTTTTTTTGCCGTGAGGATGGAAATCAAAGTCCGCCCTTGACTGACCAGGGCCATTAGCCAATAACCATCCAGGTTGGCGTTCTGGAATTCCAAAAGTTGGCGTTGTGGTTTTGTTACTGAGCCGAGTCCTCTAGTTTGCGGAGACAGCCAATAAATGGAGCTTGGTTTTAGCGTTTATTTTTTATCAGAGAAATGATTGGAATAGAAGTAATCCCCTCCCAGTAAAATTTGCAACATCCCATAGAGTTCCACCAGGGTCTAAATAAACATCGAACTGACATTTTTGTTATGTTTGTTAGAATTTAAGCTAACATATTTATATAAAAAATAGACACTTCGGCCAGTTGGAGTTTTTTATTTTCTCAACGTTTCGACAAAAATCTTTTGTCTTCGTCAGGAGAAGTAAATAAAAATAAAGCATTTGGCAAGGCGTTGAAAATTGTTCTGAGGTTTGCAAGGGCGTTCTCACGTGATTTTTCGAATTTAGTACAACATCTAAAGCGCGAGTCAAAAACAAATGTTGTACTATTATAAATTCGAAAAATCACGTGAGAACGCCCTTGCAAACCTCAGAACAATTTTTAACGCCTTGCCAAATGCTTTATTTTTATTTACTTCTCCTGACGAAGACAAAAGATTTTTGTCGAAACGTTGAGAAAATAAAAAGCTCCAACTGGCCGAAGTGTCTATTTTTTATATAAATATGAATGTCGGCCAGGCAGCCTTTATCTTTACAATAGTTAAGCTAACCTATTAAATTGAGGGCTTTATATAAATAAAGTTAATAATAATATAATTTATTGATTATGTGAAAAAAGTGAAATTGTACTTGGATCAGGAGGAGCACATGTGCTTTTTAGATGGCAGAGCACCATCTAGTGGAAGAGAAATCAACTAAACATTGATTTAGCCTGTTCCCTGATATATGGCCAACCCAATTTCTTGATAAATCAAGAAAAGCAATCTACGAACGCGTTTCGCGCTGTTGGCGCTCGTCAGCGTGGAGTAGGCTGTACCACTTGTACTAGGATCAGGTGGATAAATTAAGAAAAAAAGGCATCTCCTTATCGTGCAATTAAAAGTTGCTGATGGCTTGCGCCATCTGTCGGAAAAATATCAATTATTCGTTGATTTTTTAAATATTCCATAATTCGCCAAATACCCATTATTGATTAATGTTTAACTTTGATTAATCACACACACACACACAAAAGCCTTTATTAAGACACACAGGTCTTACAGAGGATTCTCCTTGGGGTTACAAAACGGAGAAACCTATGAAAGTGGGAAATAAAAAACGGAGAAAGATTATATACATATGGTAAATATATACAGATTATAAGAAAGAATAAAAAAATAAGAAGAATAAAAAAATAAAAAAATAAAAAAAAATTTTGGAAATATGGATGGGAGAAGTGGAGAGCGAAAAGAGGAAAGAAAACAGGTATTTACATATGGAACAAGACAATTAACTTTGATTAATCAAGAATTAGTATTTGGCAAATTGTGGAATAATTAAAAATCAACGAATAGTGGATATTTATTCCGACAAGCTATCAGCAACTTTTAGTTGCATGATAAGGAGATGCTTTTTTCTTAATATTGATTATGATGTTGACAATGTTAGTGTAATATATGCGATAATAAAAACATTATTATTAAGATAAAACTTTAATAAGGTTTAGGGATCTGTCTTCAGTTCTAGCTACATTCCTATACATTTATCTAGTATAGGTTCAAATATGTAAATATTGCTGCTGTACCAGGAGTCAGTAAAGATGTTTTGTCTTATATTTTGTCTTATGTAATTATGTGCAATTCTGTGTCTTATATATTTTACAATACCTCGCTTTGCGTCGTTTCGTTTTGCGTTTTTTTCGAAGTTGCATCGCTGCTTAATTTTTACTGATTTTCACTGTGCGTCGTTAGATTTTCGAAGTTGCGTTGTTTTGGATTCGAGTCTTTAATTTTTTTTTTAATTTTTTTCCCTAAAATATGGCAACACCTTTGTTTTTGATTGCGCCTTCACATATTTTCACTTTGCGTCGTTTCAATTTGCGTCGTGTTTTTTTGGAACGTAAACCCCGACGCAAAGCGAGGTATGGGTGTATACTTATATAGGTTCAAAGATATAAATATTGCTGCTGTACTATTGACTAGGAATCAGTTTTATGAGCTCACTTGTCTTAATTACAATGTATAAATTTCATTATCTCAATATTGATTGTGATTAGCTTTTGCTTTTTTACCTTCATTTGTGGTGAATCCTTGGTAAATCCATGTATAATACATTTACTTTCCTCCAATTTACCCAGACTAATCTATTAGCTTGATTGTCTTTATATAATTTTTCCTATATATAAATATCATATTACCATTAAGGTACTATTACTGTTTTCTTTCATGTATCCTACATTTCTGCTTGGAGAATCTGTTTAAGATTAAAAGGTCTTAATAAAGCTTTTTGTTGTTGTTTGACTAAGAGTCAGTAAAGATGTTTTAAATTGTCTTATATTTTGTCTTATAAATGTGTAATTCTGTGTCTTATATGTACTTCTACTGTCCTATAAGCTTATGTCCATAGTTTTCTTGAAAACCATTTCTGAGATTCCACCCTTCAGTAGTGAGTATATAAGCAGAATCGTCCAATACAGTATTAGAGCTCTAAGAAGCGGTCTGGTGGATTAAATTAGCGAAACTACTGGAGGGTTCACCACTGATGAGCCAAGCCCTTCTAATATATTTTTTCATCGCAGTAAAGACAGTAGAAATTTGTATTGTGTATAAAAGAAACATTCGCGTGCTTAAATCCTTTCATTTTATGTGTATAGATGGCGCGTTATTGCTTTGTGTTGATTTATATATATTTTCACTATCTTGTGAAACAGTTTGGGAGGATCATGTTTCAGACGAACTATCCCCCAATCATGACTAATGTTGTAACAACCAATCGCTAGCCATTATCAGATTAACCGATTGGTAAAACTAAAGGTTGCCATCGATACAATATCGATATATCATATTCATCAATATATTGATTTTAGAATCGTTTTTATTGACTTTTTTTTTCTCAGAATATTCTCTAACACTAAAATTTAACATATTTACATACTTAATATAAAAAAGGTATATTATATGGATTGAAAAATGTTTCATTTTTGTCACACACTATATGATATATATTTATAATTATATTTGGATTATTTTTATTGAATTATTATTAATTACACATACACAATTATAATTTGATTAAATACGCGCGTGCGCGTTACAAAAACGTAATTTAGCCTTTTTAATATAGTTATAAAAACCAAATAATATATAAATTATGATTTGATGAAAGCGAAGGCCATTTGTATTCTCTGGTTGGGTTGAAAATAGAATGATAGAATATTTTATGAAGGCTAAACAGGCTAAATCAATGTTTAGTTTATTTCTGTTCCACCAGATGGCGCTCTGCCTTCTGTAAAGCACATGTGCTCCTGGTCAGGATATGCCATTTTTATTTTAGACTATTTTATATATAATATATTTCATATAGAAATAAAAACACCCATTTATCACATATATACTCTGCAAAAACTAAATTCTTGAGCTTTTACGGTAGGAAAAAATCATTAAAAAACATTTCTCTTTCAGGTGTTATAAGTATAGATGGTGCTTTGCTATCTAAAACTGCATATTTGGATAGTCTGTAGATATGCAATTTTAGTTTATTCTATCCATATTAGCATAGGCTTAGTATTATTTGTAATTGTTTTTTTTTATAATAGTCTTTATATTGTCATGTTTTATTAAGATAAACAAAATGTTTATTTACGATGCATTAACGCGCCATCTGTTATCAAAATTCGAAACTATTATAGACGCGTATGATTCTTTTTGAAAAATAAACAATTTCTACTGTCCTTACTGCAATGGGAAAAAAATGGGCCTGGCTCATCAGTGTTGAACCCTCCCAGCGGTTTCGCCAGTTTAATCTACCATATCGCTGTTATATTGCATTTTTCGATCTTCCTTTTAAAGTGATACTGATGCTAGACTCTTTGAATGGGTATTTTAGATTAACTATGGACAGTATAAATTGTTTATTTTAAAAAAATAATAGTTTCGAATATGTTTATTTATTAATAAGACACTCCAAATAACTCAGTTGTGGGAGAGCGTTAGTTAAACTGAAGATCTAAAGGTCCCTGGTTCGATCCCGGAGGTTTCGGAATCTTTTACCCTTTCTTTCTTTTCCCCCCTATTTGATACACTGTAAATAACATTGCTGTTTATTGCTACTATTACTGTTATTTTCTTGTATATATATACCATCTTCTACTCGGAGAGAATTTGTATAGGACAAAGATTTCTTAATAAAATTTTTTGATTTCGATCTGCATATAAGTGTCATATTAATAAATCTTCTTCTCAATATAAATAAATGAATATTTTGTTTATCTTAATAAAACGACTCCCCGTCACCATAACAATATACAGTTACGAGCGTCTTTCCTAATCAATCAACCGACCGACTCTGTCACCGTTTGCTTTTATTGGTTGGCTACGGTCACGCCACCTTGCCCCCCCCCCCTGCCGGCGGCGCGCGCCCGTTGGCTGCCGGCGAGCACGTGACTTCCCTGTGCGCGCGCATAGCGGGCGGTAGGCGGTAGAATTGCAACAAATAGTATTTGAATCAAAACATTCAATCGGGTAAAACACGGGCGTTGCCCGGGTCATTCGGCTAGTAACAATATAAAGACGGTAATAGAATACAATACAAATGATGCTACACCTATACTAACATGGATAGAATTAATTAAAACTGCATATTTACAGACTGCTCAAATCTGCAGTTTTAGATGACTAAGAACGATGTACGAGTAGAGTTGACTTCGGTTAATACAGACTATTGCTTTGCGAACTAAAATGTTCATTGAAGCAATTAGAGAATGCCATTATCCTGTCTGACCTCTTTCTTCTCGTTAATTATCTCCTTTTCTTTCTCTTTTCAGCAAATTTTGGAGTTTTAATTATGACAAAGGGAGAAGAAGCTAGGTACCTGTACGGGTATATATAAAAGGAAACCATGGAACGCTTCACGATTTTGCATGTCATCCTTGCGCAAGGGCTATGCTAATCTCTACATCGTTCCTATTGTAGTAGTTCCTATTGTAGTACCGCCGAACTGGCATCACAGGGGCCATGCTAATCTTCTCTGTATCCTTCCTATTGTAGTAGTTGTACCGCCGAACAAGTATCACAGGGGCCATGCTAATCTTCTCTGTATCCTTCCTATTGTAGTAGTTGTACCGCCGAACAAGTATCGCAGGGGCTATGCTAATCTTCTCTGTATCCATTCCTATTGTAGTAGTTGTACCGCCGAATAATTATCACAGGGGCCATGCTAATCTTCTCTGTATCCTTCATATTGTAGTAGTTGTACCGCCGAATAAGTATCACAGGGGCCATGCTAATCTTCTCTGTATCCTTCCTATTGTGGTAGTTGTACCGCCGAACAATCGTGTACGTGTAAAGGGAACCATGGGGGAGACTGGTACAAAAATAAATGTAGAAAAAATCTCACAATTTTTATGTAATTCTTACGTAGGGTCCATATTCCTAGGTCCGTCCCTATATATATTAGTAATCGTATTGTGTCAAGGAAGATATCATAGGTTCTAGGAGGGAGCAGTGCATGCCAAAAATTATGCAGATGGGACCATGGCATGTGACAACCTAGGGAAACTTGCGACAACATGTGACAAATACTGATCGAGAGACACAAAGAAAGAGATAACCTTTGCTGAGCACTTGTGCAGATAAACGCTAAACGGAGAAAAGACTGAAGAGGAAATGCAACAAAGCCTAATTGAAAAACAGGACATGAGACACAATAACAAGGATGGAATGGTCTTCGGACCCAACACATATACGGTTAAGGCACAAGAACAAAGATCCGACAAAGATAGAATGACCTTTGCAGATTAAAATGTTAATCAGAAAGAAGAGGACAAAGACTGGTTAAGAGAGAAACACGAATTGTGGGGACAGACAGGGAGCAGAGACAAAGGACAGAGACAGATGTGGGACAGACCGGCGCCGCTCAAGGATCGATGACCCCAATCAATGGGCGGGCGTGGCCTGAGCGTGATGGCAGACATTCCCGCAGACACGTGACCTCAAGGCGATGACGTCACCAACCCAGGTCTCGTGACAGAAAGTCGCCAAGAGTATTGACATATTGATTCCATATAAAACGATCCCCTCACCCTAAATCCCACAGTCTACAGTGGGCTGGCTGTCTGGATAACGACTTTAACTCTCAGAGGGTGATTGGCCCAAATTTACAACCAACAACAACAAAAACCTTTATTAGGAACACTCGTTCCATACAGGATTCTCCTAGACGGGTGAACAGAAGCAATATGTATCTACAGAAAGTGGAGAAGAACATCAATCTTTCTTCAAGCTAGGTCACTCTCTTCTGTGTTACGCCTTTTGACTCTGCTGTTCTCCAGAATTTGTGAAAAACCAATGCATTGGTCTTGCTTTAATTTGCAACCAATTTGGGCAACTTAAGAGAATCTGTAAAGAAAATGGAGAGCAAGAGAATTTGTGAAAAACCAATGCATTGGTCTTGCTTTAACTTACAACCATTTTGGGCAACTTAACAGAATCTGTATAGAAAAAGGAGAGCAAGAGAATTTGTGAAAAACCAATGCATTGGTCTTGCTTTAATTTACAACCATTTTGGGCAACTTAACAGAATCTGTATAGAAAAAGGAGAGCAAGAGAATTTGTGAAAAACCAATGCATTGGTCTTGCTTTAACTTACAACCATTTTGGGCAACTTAACAGAATCTGTATAGAAAAAGGAGAGCAAGAGAATTTGTGAAAAACCAATGCATTGGTCTTGCTTTAACTTACAACCATTTTGGGCAACTTAACAGAATCTGTATAGAAAAAGGAGAGCAAGAGAATTTGTGAAAAACCAATGCATTGGTCTTGCTTTAACTTACAACCATTTTGGGCAACTTAACAGAATCTGTATAGAAAAAGGAGAGCAAGAGAATTTGTGAAAAACCAATGCATTGGTCTTGCTTTAATTTACAACCATTTTGGGCAACTTAACAGAATCTGTATAGAAAAAGGAGAGCAAGAGAATTTGTGAAAAACCAATGCATTGGTCTTGCTTTAACTTACAACCATTTTGGGCAACTTAACAGAATCTGTATAGAAAAAGGAGAGCAAGAGAATTTGTGAAAAACCAATGCATTGGTTTTGCTTTAATTTACAACCATTTTGGGCAACTTAACAGAATCTGTATAGAAAAAGGAGAGCAAGAGAATTTGTGAAAAACCAATGCATTGGTCTTGCTTTAATTTGCAACCATTTTGGGTAACTTAACAGAATCTGTATGGAAAAAGGAGAACAGGAGATTACCTATAACCCAGATACCCATAATGGTATATCAAAATACTTATAGCTCTATATGCACATATTTATCATATAACTTTGTATATTCTGTTTATTTCTCTCCTTTTCCCACATTCGTTTTCTGCATCTCTCAGGAGAATCTATATATATGAAACGCTTCACGATTTTGCGTGTCATTCTTGCTCAGGGGCTAATCTTCTCTGTATCGTTCCAATTTTAGTATATGTACCGCCGAACAAGTGTGTACTGAGAATCTGTATATAAGAATAAAGGTACGAAGGTGTTGATTATGGGTAACAATAGAAAAAATATTCTAAAGACAGCACATAGTAAATTTTACTATTCTGTTAATAAATCTCTTGGTCCATCTTGCATCTAAGGTATCGATTTTGACTGCGAACCATTTTGTTTTCAAACTGGTGCCTGTTGAATACATTTCTTCTCTAATGGTTTTCTGGTCTCCCCAATATATATAGGTAGCATTTTGGGATTTATGAGGGATTTTATATATTAAAATCTTGGGCAAAACTTAAGGAAGTTGTACATTTCAGCATGTATATCGGGATTCTGACAACAACTCTGAAAGATATTATAGTGACCTTTATTGAAGACACACGATATTACCGACTATGAACAAAATTGCTTCTGTCTGCTTAAAAAAAAAAAAAGATGACTGACGACATAAAGATTTTCCACTTCCTTAAGTTTTGCCCATGAGTGTAAATTGATTGGTAATCTGGATTAATTCATAGATCAGAGATCAGGTTGTGTTTCGTTTGATATCGTTATCGAAAAATGGCATTCAAAGAATAACAATCAAGACCTGAAATATTTTCGAATACTTCTAATTCTTCGAAAAATTCATCTAGAAGGTCTAAAAGTGCATGGGATTACTGAAAATTAGAAAATTTCAAATATTACTATGCTATTTACACGAAGATTAATTACCTATTAATAGATCTTCAATCATCATCAAAATGATTACTTCTCTAATTGAGATAACGTCTCTATTTAAAAAAAAAAAAGTATATATTAAATTAGATTTTGCATCGAGTGATGCAAAACGTATTTCAAAGTAGAGGGCAAGCAACAAATCTGAAGCTCTCCGTCACACAAGGTCGGTATTTTTGCAGAAGACATTTTTAGAGGTTCGTCTGCGTGTTCTAAATCTGTCTTAGCGGGCGGTGACCTGCCGGGAATAGTTCGTCTTCTGCCAGGATCGGCTGCTGCTGCTTGGATTTAATTGGCGGAAATCCGCGCCATTGTGGCCAGCCAATCTAGGTCCTGGATAATTGAAATCTTGCAGATAAGCTGGGACAATGGCGGGAAGTGATTAAGTTGCCGGCTTTCAAAATGACTCTCTCGAGTCCTTGCAAAAATTTTTCTTTAAACTCGTTAATTAAATAGGCTTTGTCTTGGATCTTACCTTAGTCCCATTCCTCTGAGAAACCCTTCACACACCTTATCCTCTTAAATATATTGCCACGTGGAAAATTAGGGAAGACCAACTTCGGAAATATCTTTATTTACGGGGCTCTTCTAACCAAAATAAAATGATTTTTGAGCCCCAATGGCCGCGTAAAGCGGAATATATAAAACCACTATGACCAGGGTGGAGAGGCAAAGGACAGGATCTCCTTCAGGGAAGAGTCAGGTTAGGCCGGATTGGGTCCGCGGAGGTCAGGAGTCAGGAAGAAGGCGGGAGGACTAGAACTTTGCAGCTCTAGCTCTGGCAGTTGGGCAAGACATTGATCTTGCCTCGTGGTCAGCAGAAAATTAGGGAAGACCAACTTC